TTTCGGCATCAAACTATTGGACAGCTTGTATATGGAGCTAGATATTATAGATTATTTTTAGAAACTCGTAAAGAAAATGAAATTTTTAAGAAATACAATGATGGAGGTGGGCTACCATGCAATGCCTCTAATTTTCATGGTGTATATGTGTATGTTTAATGGTTTAGGTATTAATCTTAAGATATCAGTGGTTGATTTGTCAACTGGTGAAGTGGGACCAGCTAAACCAATGAGAGGTGAAAAAGGTTGGACCATTGGAGAATTAAAACAATGTATAGGAGAAGTAAGTGAAAAGGAATATAATATCATTTATATTGTTGTCCTTCCCTCCCTCACCCCCTCTCCTTCTCTCTTGATCCTGTCTCTTTTTCTCTAGAAATTTGACCTTAAGTCATCATGTATGAGATTAGTACATAAAGGGCATGATGTTACTGATATTAAAAATGCAGGGAGTACTTTAGAGAAGATATTCAATTCGGGAAACATCATTAGTCCATGCATTAAAGTACTAACTTTATCTTTAGTAAACAGTGGTAGTGGTTTAATTTGTGATCACTTTGAAATTGCCATTGGAGACAATTTGCAGTGAATGTCAGCTTCATGCAGGGCTACAAAAAGGAGGGTGACAAAGTATGAGTTACATAAAAGAAAGGTGACAAGTAGGCCTGGATGGACATGAAATACCAAAAATATATGTTTGATTTAAGTAAACAAACAAAGATACTAACTCAAAAGGGGGGTGACATGTCACCCCAATCACCCTCCAGCCTGGCTATGGGCATTGTAGTTAGACTGCAAGCTAGCCTCAGCAGCTTTTTTTTTTATACCAATTAACCAAATTCCCTCCCATGCAATATGTCAGCTAATTAGGCCACTCCAATTTGATTTACTGTTTCTCCTTTTATGCCTGCATTGGCAATTTAATATTTTATTATTTATATGCCATAAAACTACACTAGTTTTCATTATACAGTATTTGTATTCCATTTTCATCCTCCCTACTGTTTTTTGTCTATATACACACACACATTCTGTTTTCTTCAGTTCTTTGTATCTTCAGATTATAAAGATTATATGAAAAAATTCAATGATAGCTTGATGTACAGATATATTGATATTCACTTCAACTCAATACTACTGAATATTACATTACCTCCTCAACCTGAAGCCGCTCACAATGCAACCACTAGAAAAAATGGAGGGATAATAATGAAAATTATATCAGAAGGAATAAGAGAAAAAAGAAGTAATAGTAAATAATGTTTTAAAATAATTACCTACATGTAACTTGTACATGTATCATAATAAAAACGGCATTAAACATTAATATTAATATTCAATACAGAGGTACAGGTAGAAGTTGACAAGAGAATTACATTAGCTCAATTGAAAGAGGAGCTAGTTCCACTGATTGGTGTACCACCTACTGGTTTCATAGTATACAGAATCAGTGGTTATAAAGAAAATGAAATGAAGGACCTGGATGATACTTTATTGAGTATTGAATCTAAATCAGAGGTAAATTGTGTACTGTGTATTGGATGATTTTTGTGGGGCTTTAATTTTTTCATGCTTAAAGGTATTGCATTAAAATTTAATGCATGTGACTAAGTGTCTTTATGACTGCATGTGCTATATCAGTAGGTACATGTACATGTAGGTCTAGTATTAGACAGATAATTAAGAATTAAACTTACAAAAACATTGTCTGTTGATTAAAAATAAATTTTTATCCAAACAAAATGTAATACTGTATAGTGTGTTTGTTTCATGAGGGTAAACTTTCGTTTTCCATCCTCAAAATGACTTTTGTGAGGTTAAACATTTGTTTTCAAGATGTTAATAAACTTAATATGCTACTACATCCATTAAACTGGAATTTTGTTTGGTTAATTGTTGGTTTCCCATCTTGAAGAACAAAAAGAATGAAAGTTTAGCCTCACGAAACAAACCCGCTATATGGTACCATCTCTACGTGCTGTTTATCACTGCTTTGTCATTATATGTCATCTGTGATCTGTCATCTTTGTTTTTCTCCTAGTTGATAGTAAGAGTGGGTAGAGCATTACAAAAAGGAGAGAACAGAATTAAATTATACTTATTGCAAGTTAACAATCCAGAGGTATGAATTTATTATTATTATTTTTATTATTTATTTTTTTAGTTTTGCAAGTTTATGATGGAATCTATTGTTGCTAAGATTAGAGTGAGAGAATTTAAAAAACAAATTATTGAAGAAGCAAAAATACAAGGAATTGACTGTGTCCTTGAATTAGACAAGTATGTGTAAGTTCATTATATCACTATCATGTGACTTATTGTGTAGAATGAGATTACGTGTCAAGATTGGTGGGTCCCTTGGTACAGTATATCTTGATGATGAGTTGATTCATGCTTGTAGTGAAATCTATGTGGAACCATTGAAAGGTCAGTATACTGCACAAAATGATTTATTGGTAAGAGTAATATTTGGCGAAATTGTGGAAAGTTAATTGGTAATTTATATTGCCAATTTTGTACCACATGCCATTCAGCATGCTCAGATTGAAACAAAATGGTGGATTAATATTGGCAACTTCTGCTGCATAGAACTGCCAATTGCCAATAAATTCTTTGCCAATAAATCACCTTGTAGAGTATTACAA